AATATTTGTCTTTGTTAAGGGAATCTGCTATGTAACTCATCCATCATATATCCCAGAAGCTTGTCGTGAATGGGAGAAAAGAACCAACAATGCCATTGTTGATTATGTAGTAGTTCCTCAACTGCCTCGTGGTGCATTGTTGGAGTGGCATATCTGGGCCCATCGGCATAACAACATGTTTGAATGTAAGTATTGGAAAATATTTCAATAAAAGTATATATTCAAATGAAGCATAATTCAAGATTATTTATGTTAATGACTTCATAGAGTGGAGTCCTTGGGAAGCTGCTAGTTTCTTTAAAACTTTTTTTTATTAGTAAGAATAGCTAACTTGAGCAAATGTTTACTCAAAAGCCATAAGTGCAGAATGTCTGTTCATTTGACATATGAGAAGTCAGAATTATAGTTCAATATGTGAAAGTTAGATCTAATCATGGCATTGTAATTATCTGTGTTTGTAGTGCAAAGTGTGATGCTCTCTACAAGTTGTTCACAGCCATGTAATTTAATGCAAATAAACAGGCAAAAAATTAATAAATGAAAAATAATATCAGACACATACTAATATTATTACTTCTGTTACTGCTTCTGCACATTTACTGATTTACAAATACCAAGTTATTTTATTTCTATTGTTACGTGTAGTTTAATTTTATTCCATCTGCATGAATGCGTAGTGTTCCTGAAGCTTATGAATCTGTGTGTATGTTATTTTCTTGTGCAGATGAAGAGACAGGACGCTGTGTAAGTGGCTTCAGGGTATCTATTCGTAGGCGTTGGAATTACGAGAATAATGTTTCTGCCATAGTCTGTTATGTATCAGCAGGTAAGAATCCTTTCATAATGGGGCAACCTATTACATCCCTACCTGCAGCAGCTGCTGGCCATTTTGTAGCAGTACATACTCCGAGTATTTTCTAATATTTTATAACATTCACCATATATGACAGATTTTAAAAATATTTTTGAAACCAGTTTTTCAGGGAAGTACATTTTTATTTCTTGTTCATGACATTCTTACAATTGTAAACCATGAACAAAACTGTAAACATATTAGTTGTCCATGAGCCTGGGATTCATGCTGTATAAATATTTTTTCTGTTGTTGCCAATGAATCCTAACAATATCACTGTAAATTAAATCATTTTCAGTTTTGACCCCCAATACTTCACAATGATTTGACTCTCAACTTTATATCTGGGAATGTGGTTTCTGTCCACTACTTCATCATTTTTGCAGAGTATAGTACTCTTAAATTTTATGTAAATATTTCTTCTGATAGTTGTGTCTTGTGGGCAGCCTATGAATTCACTGCAATTTTTTAAAATTCAGTTTATACCATCATCTTACAGGCATTCTGAAAACATACATGCAATTATACACAAAATGTCGACTTTATGGTTCTGCTGCACCCTTTCCAACATGATATATACACTTCCAGAATTGCTTATTGCACATATGCAAAGACTTAGTGCCACATATTTTAGCCTTGGTGATGCCTGTCAATTATTGGCATCACCTTACTTTAATTTTGAAGTTTGACTCGGTGAGAAACTCTGAAGGACATATCTTATAAAACAATTTGCAAGAGATAGCTGCAGTTCCTTTATAATAATTGTTCGTATTTTAAGTGTTGGTTCTAACCTTATCATGAGACCTTACTAAGCTTGTCAATTTAGATGTGGTGTACTTGTACCCTCTGTAACATGTTAGTTTGTTTTGGTGTTGTAGCTGCCTCTAATTCAAGTGTGGTTCTGACTGAGGAATGGAAAGAAGACTTCTCACCCAACCAACTGAGTGATGAGAACTTGTCAGAAATTCTATGCTACGCTTTGTCCAAACTTCTCCATGATGTAGAATCTACCACTGTGTGCAGTTTGCGCATCTTCTGCAAGGTTGGGACAGCACCTGCACCATGCCAGATACAGAATGTTCTCAGTAAAGCAGAACATTTCAACATTGTTCACAGCATTATACCAGTATGCCATCTTCATAATGCCCATACTTTCCTGTCAGTATGTGGTGTTAGACATAACTGAGGTGGTTTGTACTGTGACTTGGAACTTACTCTGGGATTTTATTCAATGAAGTAACACTAACTGTGTTAGAAGTTAATTCTTAGTTAAGGGTGACTCAGATTTTGTCTTATGTGCACCCCTCATGAAGACTGATGCATAACACTATTCTGCTTTGCATAGTATGCACACTTTGCTTCTTTGTTTTAGTTCCTTTCAGAAAGCTGGTATAAGTCTGTGGTTCTTTCAAATATTATTTAAAATATCCTAACCATGAATTAGGTGATGGTAAGTAAAGTTACCAGCATACATTTCGTAATGTATGAAAATATTTAGCAGCACACTGGATGATGGTATAATTGATGAAAATACACCATTATAAGTTGTGCGTAAAGTTATTTATATTTTTTTTTAAACAAACAGGATTCTTTGAGGGCCCTTAGCAGTTTACATGATGCCAGAAAAGAGACTTTTACGTTTCCTGTATGTCAGCCATTGGAGATATGCATATAAGTGGAGCTGATGCTTGCTATTCCCCTCCCCCGCCACTTCTTGGTGGGGTGCACAAAATAGACATGTATGTTTGTGGTAATGAGAAAATGAGTGATTGTTTTCAAGGTTTTTGTATGGAAATGACAATTGAGATAGTTAGGGGCATGGTAATTACTTCCAGACAGATTAATGCTTATAAAACACCAGTTTACATGCCACTGTAAGTAGACTGCAATTGGTTGCAATCGCCACACAAACAGTTCAGGAATTCATAAAATGCTTTACCTGTACAATGACGTATCAGATATGTTTGCAGAGTATGCCTTTTTATGTTTGTTTCTTTGTATGTGTGTAGTGGTCAAGAGATGAGGGGAAGTAATCAGAGTGACAAAATCTGCATCAACAGTGGGTTTTTTAAAAAAAAATTCTACCTAATCTTCTGTCATTTCCAAGTGTCTGTTAAAACATTATTAAAAGAAATTCTCACAGTTTTGATTTTGAGACAAATCTTTGTGCTATATTCTTGGTATATGTGTGGGTTCAAGGAATGTAACACAAAACTAAGAGTGCTATGTGTTAAATCTGTCATGTACATGCAATTCGTTCTCGTCAGTTATTTGCAAGTTATAGCATACCCCTTTTCAGACTTACTGCATTGATGTAGGAACTATACCTATCACATTTTGCTCAAATAGATTTATTTGTACTTTGCTTTTCTTATTTTTATTATAGCATTTTATAGTGTGAGTGGGATTGCTGCGAGAGTGGAATGTCAGCCTGTCATTCTTAGTACCATGTTTTATATGTTAAGGACTGTATCAGTAATTCCAAACACAAATTATAATTTAAGTTGGCAATGAAAAATGATTATTATTGGAATAAATGTTATTTTTGCTTCCATTTGTTTGTTTGAACAGATCCATGAAATTTGTTGTTCATTACAGTTCTAAGACCTGGTGATACATTTTATCACAGGAATAAACCTTGTGAACATTATAAGGTGAAATATGTCTGCTGACTTTTCACAATGTCTGACATAACTTCATTAAATTAAAGGAGAAATTTGCACCCATGTATTTAAATTTGAAAGTATACAGACAACAAATGTTGCTTATCAGTAGTTGCAATTGTTTTTTAAATATGCAGCCAATATAAGTTGTTTGGTTGTATTTTGGGCCAAGTTTCATTGTAAATGCATCTATCTTCATAATACTTTACATTCTGAACTTGCTGGTTTAGGAGTAAGGGGGCTGACCTTTTATACAGGTTTTATATCACCAAAATCCAGAGTGAATTTTTGTGCAAGCATTTCTCTTCCTTCACCTCTAGCAATGTAAAAAGTGTACAAGGGGAATATGCCCCTTTGAGGTTTGTATCCCTTGTTAAGCTGTAAGTCCCATTGTTAGCTAATATCAATGTCATCTTCACTATGATCCTATCATTGAGGAAACTTTGCCCATTGGGTGCTGTTATCTGAAAAAGTGAATTCCTACTTTTGCCTTTGCTGGGAAGGGTCAGAATGCTCACAAAACCATACTTGGAGTGAACAAGATATCAACATTAGAACAAATGTGTCCAGAATAAGTTACGTGCCAATAGCCTTTCTCAATCTGAGCAGACATACATTAGGCCCCTCTGAAAACATGATGCATAAAGAAAATGTATCTAAGAAACCGTATTACAGTACCCATGCAAAATATGCATAACCCTCTATTATTAACACGTGACTCACCATATTAGCTTGTCAATTCCCAAGGAACTTGAGTGATGGATTTATAAATTATGGAATTTGTGTTCCCGAACGATTTGAACAATGTGCAATTCGTATTCAGCCTCTTCGGATTCTTACGAAAACTACCTGTCCCACTCTCACTTCTTCGTCTTAAAACACGGCGCCATACCATTTTGCTTGCCTGTCACGTGATGATTTCATCAGTGATTTTTCCTACCGCATATGACCAGGTGAGATGTCTGTCAGAGAAACCTCTGATTTCTGGTGAGAACATTCAGATATGGTACAAGTGACCAATGATCATACATTTGCAAAAACGTCATCTGTGACAGTTAAGGTAAACTGTGGTCATAAAGCACAGAATAATAGGCGTAACAAACGTTTATAGATATTTGTGCCCTGGATTACATTTCCTAGACGTATACACAAAAACAGCGAAACGTACCAGATAGTAAATATGTGATTGTGACATTTTTTGGAGGACAGTGACTGTTAAAATACACAGTTCTTACTACATTTTCTTTTACTGGATTATTTTTATAGGTTAGGTTAGGAGATTTTTGAAAATGACCACATTGAGGCCATTTACGTGTAATGATATGTTCAAATTTAATAATGTGTAAGTACGCAGAATGCTTTGATAGTGTGTCAAGGTCTGGTTTTGTTTACATTTTATATTCATATAACTTAAAGACTAATATTAGTTTGTCTTTTAAATTGCAGTATTTTCTAAATATATTATGCTTTCTCTTACAGAAATTTAGACTCGCTCACAGAAACGGTATCCTTTTCTTTCCACATGTCCATAAAAATACATTTAATAATACTTTATAGGTCAAATTTCTCGGGTCTTCCTTAACAAAAGCCAAGTATGGACTATCCTTTTACATGCAATATCTTGCTCACTGGCCAGAATACTTCCAAGTTGCAGAGTCACCAAGTGGAGAAATTATGGGATATAGTAAGTAGTTATCTATGTTCCTTCACGAGGGACAATTTTGTTTTTTATAAATACAGTGGGGACCAGGATAGTTGTCCATATATAATATGTGGAGCCATAACTGCACTTCTCCATACATCTGCTTACATGGTACTTAGTTAAACATTAGAGGCAAGTTACCATCAATATATGTCTCTACAACTCTTCATCCATAAATTATAGTTGTGTTACTTCACATTTATTCTATGTATGATGAAGTATAGTATTTTATAATACTTCTTTCTAATAAGAAGGCAAAAATATTTCAAATTTGTTTTCAGTAATGGGCAAGGCAGAGGGCCATGGTGAAAACTGGCATGGTCATGTTACAGCTCTTACTGTGTCCCCAGAATTCAGACGTTTGGGTCTTGCTGCAACATTAATGGCATCGCTTGAAGATGTTTCAGAAAAGTATGTATTTACAGAATCCTAATATTTTTTCTGTTAAATGGTGAGTAATAAGAAATCCTGTTTGTGTTACATAAATGCACAGTTAGTGTAAGCTTCTATTATGTGAGCAGGGTGTAGGAGAAATTCATCTTAAAAGTTAAGGTGATTAGTGACTTGTGTAATATCAGTAAGTAGTCATCTTGATTAAAACAATGGCATATTGGAGATTTTTCAAAAATGTATGGATCCAACAATAATTTTGTAACCCATTCTGAATAAAGTCTTCTGAAAGCATTGTTAAATTGGTGCATGCACTTCACTTTACTGTAGTTCATGTTTTCAGAAAACGAGCCTACTTTGTGGATCTGTTTGTCCGTGTATCTAACCAAGTAGCGATCAACATGTACAAGCGTCTTGGTTACATAGTGTACCGAACAGTATTAGAATATTATTCTGGAGATCCAGATGAAGATGCTTTTGGTAAGTTACTGGAAACAACAAAAGTATAATGTCAGCAAAAAAGTGTACAATTCCAATTTTTAGATGTTCTTCACATGCTCTAACAAAAGGAAAGAAAACATTATGGGCTGGCCATGTTTGTCCACATGATTCAACTCCATTATTGAGCAACCATGGGTTCCAACAATGGGGACCTTGAATGTCATTAGAGCAAATATTACCAAAGGTTATTTTTGGAAGACATTGTTGTATACCATTGTTTTGGACTCACATTAGTACCAGAATGGTCTAGGATATAAGTGAACATCAGTGCAATGACCTATGATGCAACAACCAGATAACATTAGTGAAATGATGAAATACTTTATGTAGCATGAAAAACACCTCTAGAACGATGGTGTAATCTAAAGAGTACACCATATCAGCCTTGGTTACAAAAGTATCATAAAGAATTGTTTTTTTATCATGCAGAATTTTAGGAACCTATATTGAATGGTGAAGTGTTACTTCTACCTCAGATGTTATCTTGTTCACTGATTGGGCACACTAAAGTGGTTGAAATTCCACACTAATTTTCTCGAAGCTTCGTGTACAGGTGAATTTAATTAGGGAGGAAGATGGCAGTATATAAGCAGTACAAAAACAGCATGGACTTTGTTTTGGGAGAAAAAGGATATTACTGTAAATAGAGAAAGAAATACCAGTATATTTGTGATATCAGACTGTAGTATGGTTATTCAAAATAATGTAAGGTCTACTGATGGCAGTTCAGGCCATTTTTTTATACAAAAATTATTTGGCATGGCAAATGAACAAATAATTTTAAATTTGATAATAACTGACAACCTCTTTGTAGTTGGGCATGTGAAATTTGGTATGATTAGAAATTATAAATCACATTTCCTATTTTTTATTTTCTTAAGGAGATACCAACCTGGTGACTACAAGGTCTGACATTTAAATAACCAAACTACTTCTGTAAAATGTTTGTCACCGACCTTTACTGAATGTGGTCATCTTTAAAGTGCTCCTTACTTCATACACATATTCTGTAACTGCCATGCCTGGAAATACTGCTCTGTATAATATTCTGAAAGTCCTTGCAGTGTTGTCATCACATGTCTGAAATCTGTTATGAAGTGATTCAAAATGACACCCTCACAAGAAAAAGAAAAGTCACATTGGGTCAAATAAGGCAAGTATGGTGGATGTTCTAAAACTGTTTATTCATTGCCAAAACTTACTGTGCTGAAAGTACTGTACGGGAAGGTGCACTTTGATTTCCAAATTTTTTTACCTTCGACTACATCAATTATTCTCACTGGAAGAGCACGTTTTTCGAGATGCCCGTTAGAATTTTGAACAGCAAAATTTGTGCATACATTGCTTGTCTGTACACATTTAATACTGCTGCGCCACCATAAATTTTCAGATGCCAATGCCCTGCATTTTATTTTCTGATTTTGCTTACAGATATGAGGAAAGCTTTGTCGAGAGACGTAAAAAAGAAATCGGTGATCCCAGTCTTGCATCCTGTGAGACCTGAAGAAGTTGATTAAGATACTATTTCTGTACACACACATTTCATATACTCCATAAAGAAGTATCAAGGTTATCAACTGAAAACACTGACAAGTTCTTCAAAGTTAATTTATGCAAAATAGTTCTAATTTCCCTGTAAGGAAATGCATGCCTTTAAATGACTGGCTACATCTCATGTAGTTTGTAATGTGATGGAACAGAAATTCACAATCACATATTTTAATCCATGAATGAAGTATATCATTTTGTAGCAATTTATGTATAATATATAAGGAAGATTTAGTATGGCTATATCAAGCATTTTTAATTGAAGAGTAAAATAACGTCTAACTCTTTTCAGATAGTAAATACAGGAGAAATAAGTAATGACTGTATTATTAGTGTTACCTGTAATGTGATTAGTTTTCCAAGATAATAAATGAATATCAAAGCTAATGAAGAATGCATTGTGGCCATGATACATGGTAGCTGTATGTGTAAGTAAACTGCAGGTCCCAGAGTAGTTACATTTGCTTCATGGGTGCTCCCACCTCACTTAGTGGGCAGAGGCCACAAAGACTAATTACAGTGTAACTGGAGATATCTGATACAGACACTTCACTGATTTGACAACAGATATATTTAAGAACATATTTCTCGTGGTGAACTTATGGTCACATCCCAGCAAAACTGGCTGAAGGTAGTGGTCAAGGTCATAGTCACATGACACACACAAGTCATGTGTGCCACCCAGGGAGTGTGCACGTGCACATGGACTTCTGAGAATAACACTTAACACTGCTCTGCCAAGTATTAAACAAGACAGCCTTCATGACTGTACCTTTCTTTGCCATATAAAATGAGAGGATAGTGAGTATACTGCAGTCAGCTTTGTCTCTATGATTCTTATGTACCTTCTTCTTCACTTTCCTCCTGAACTTTCTGTTGTTGCTTTTTCCATGCTTTAGCCATCTCCAAAAGTTTAAGGTTTGGTTTTGTAGCCTCATCCTCTGGAAATATGTAATCAAAGAACTCTTCCCAACCTTCTTCACTCTGAAATCATAAAAAGTCTGAAGTTAAAAGTACAGTCTATTATGACTAGTCAGTGTCTAAGAGTGTTTTTTGTGCGTGGTAAATGTAATAATCTTAAATATACTAATGTTTTTCAGTTATAATGAACACTATTTCATTATTTTTGATACTAGAAGTGCTTCTGATCGCTTTCCACAATCACATAAATGTACATCTGCCAATGTGGCATAGTTACTATTTCATTATTTTCAGAACAACAGCCTGTTTTCTATTATTGCATAAAATTACTTCTGGCAACATGGCTACTAAGCCACTGACCACTGGTGATACTACTGTATTGCCAGTGGTCAGTATTGAATGGAAAGTTTGAAAGTTGCTGACTGCTGTTTCATTTAATTGTCCAACAGGATGCCTTTTCTATATTGTTTTACTGTTCTATCAGCTTTTGTTTGCTTTTTATCATCCTGCAATACGAAATTAATGTTCAGTAGTCATTTCTTGACAAATGATTCATATTCAACTATGCAAAGCAAACTCACCCCATCATCAGCCTGAACTTTTTGTCTCTTCCTGACTCTTCGGGGCATTCTCCGCATTACATTTTCCAGAGATTCATCATCACCATTCTGGGTCTCAAAATCCCGCCATGCTTCCAAGAGTAGTACACGCTCTTCTTTCTCATTAGCACCACGCAAAGACTGGTTTGCTCGTTCATACACTCGCCTTGCAAGAACCACATTTCCTTCCTCTGCAGTTAACATTTCAAACTGTGCATAGCTCATCCAGACCTGTCACAAAACAACATTCAAGTAAACAGAGTAACAAAACAATTAAAGGAAAAGCAGCAGCAAAAAGCAACAAACAAATACAAGAATTATCTTTGTACTAAAGACCAGTGTTTTCCGCTCAGGAATAGGAGGAGGGTTACACATGCACACACCCTCACTTGCCTACTGGGCTACTGTCACAGGTATTTACTTAACTCTCACTGATAGTATGTATGTATTATCTGTGTTAGTGAATGCTTCAAGCAGAACTTTTAAGAAAAAAGTTTATTTTATCAGGAGATTAGAAGTCTGGTACATCATGCCACTGAAACTGAAGTCTCAAATCACAAATTTATGTTTAATTTTGTAAGTAAAATATTATGATTTCATGTTCCGTGAAGATATATTTGATTTCTGTAAATAATTTTACATGAAACATTACTGTATTTAACTCTTTCATTCAGGAACCCTACATATACACATGTATTCACTATGACACTGGTCAGTCCCACATATATTTCATTACAATGGGCAGTTCTTGTGATGCTTCTTTGACAGAAAATATATGCCCACTTTATAAGAATAACCACTATTAATTACAATATCAAATTTTCTGTACCTTGACATGTAATGTTCTCTCCAGCAATCTCTCATACAATTCTCTAGCTTTTTGTGTTTCACTCAATCCAACTTCAAAGTCAATATAAGCCTTCCACAACAACTCAGGCATGTCCAAGCGTGGCTGGTTAACTGCCAGTTCATAGATGGCTCTTGCTCGATCAATGTCTCCTAGCAGTGTCTCCAGCTCTGCAAACTAGTAAAGTTGAAAATAACCTATAATGTTTCATCATAGCATATCTTATGATACATTCTGTATTTATCCATTTATTCAGATAGTGAACACTACAAAAACACATGCCTCCCCAGCATTGACCGTCCTCTTGACAGAGTTATTGTATGGTAAAAGTATTATTTCAGCTAGTTTCTGTTCAAGAAATACAGTTATATGTGTATATTCATCCTGCTGGTATTTCTGTGTGACTTTACTCACCCTCATCCACGTGACACAGTTTTCTGAACCAAATTCAAGAAACTTTTGATATAGGATACGGCAACGATCAAATTCTCGTAGCTGAATTTCGAGGTCTATGTAACCTCTAAACAGCTTGTCTTTCGGACATATTCCAAGAGCCATACCCTGTAACAAAACAAGAACTTTCACTCCAGATGCAATCATAGTTTCATTCAGTCCCTGTATACATTTGTGTATTGTATGACAGACATTCAAATGGAAAATTAACATGTTTATATGCCCAACAGGCTGTTAACCATTTACTGAAATGCTGTCTGCCTACTACACTCTATAAATGTATAGACAACTTTTTTCAATACGCAAGAAAATTCCTACTTGATAACTGTGACTTGACAAAAATTACTGGTACAAGTTACACAACAAACACTAGAACACTACGTGCACAGAAAAGGCTTCAAATAGAGTGCTATACCAGACTCTTCCTGGCAACAGTCAGATTCTTGTTCCTGATCTCAAAGTTGGCGTAGAGCAACCAGATCTTGGTGAAGGTAAAGTGCTTGTGTGGAAGTAACTCAAGACAAGCTCTGTACACCTGCCGAGTCCTTTCAACATTATCTGCCTCCAGCTCTTCAAAGAGAGCATAATTGATCCACAGGTATATGTAGCGGCGCCAGAATGGTTTCTCCTAGAAATTTAATCATGTTGTAATATTTTATCCTTCAAACATACACTAAACAAAAAGGAAGGGAAAAAAACAATATTAGCAATGCTGTGTTTGCAATGTTCACACACACACACACACAAGCAAAACTACAAGACTTTCACTATAAGATGATGCAGACTTAAAAGAAAATCCAAATTTAAGAAAAAAAAACATCTTTCATCAACAGCTGAGAATGTTCAATCATTTAAACAGAGAAAATTAAGTGTATGTTAATGTCTTATCACCAGAATGCAGGACATAACTATAATATACCATTCAGTTAAGAATCTTCAACTTCATATCTGTAAAAATGCAAAGATTAAAATATACAAAACAGTAATTTCAATTGACTGAAACTTGGGTCTCTCGGTCTAAGGGAGCAATAAACATTAAAAGTTTTGAGAACGGTACTGTGGATAATATTTTTGTATGAAACTTGTCTGTCACTGTAAGGGTAAAACAATTTTTACTCTTCACCAAATATAAGCTGATGAAACTGAGGAGGACCAGATGTTATATGCATAAAATCAATGATAAATGCACACAGATTTTTAGTCGCCAAAAAGACAATATGAACGATTTGGGCATAAATGAGAGGACAATATTAAAACAGATCTTAAATAGGGGTTGATGTGGACTGCATTCATCTGGCTCAAGACTGGGTCAAATGGTAATAAACCTTCAGGTTCCATACACACAGAATATTTCTTGACTAGATGCAGCTTCTCGAGGAGGGCTCTTCTCTGTGCACTTAAAAGGACAGCACTACTTTGCAGAGACCAGTTATACAAACATACCCACTTCCCTAAGTTTAAATTCTTGTCACTAAAAATATCTTATAGTAAGGAAATATTGTATTTTCATTTTTACACCCATCTAGTGGTAGTATTATAAAATGTGCCTGATTGAAATTATACAGTGAGTCTATACCCTTCATACCTTAGTGAAGCAAGTAAAAAGTAACATTAAAATTACAAAGGAGTTCATTCAAGTTGAAGTGTGGTGTCTGCACATCTGTGAAGTACCATAATTATATAACAATGGAGACAAGAGTTCACTTACTTTGGTTGGAGGAACATTAGCAATAGCCCTCTCATACATCTCACGGATTACTTCAAGGTTACCCTCACTTTCCACGAGACGGAGATAGTCAAACCAAGCATCATAATTATTTGGGTTAACTTTCACCTCCTGTAAGAAATATATTACAATACATAAAAATTAATAACTTGGAATGGTGGGTACCAGCCAACATTTCTTTATTAGTAATTTGTTCCATGTATTAAAATAACAATGCCAAGCTCACATTTCAGTAACAAATAAAGATCTCATCCATCCAAGAACCCAGAAAATTTCCATCACTGAAATACACCCCAATCAATGATACAAAATACCTCTGTTACTTCTAAAAAGTTTAATCTAATAGTAGATGTCATGGCATAAACACCAGAACTAAATGTGTAGCACATCAGGTCTCTACGACTGCCTTTGAAAGCAAACATTCACATTGAAATGCTATTACTCATTTGAATTGATAATACCAGGCCAGGCCTGTAAAGATGAAATGACCTTCGTCAAGCACATAAGCTATATAAGCTAAATTAACCAATTATATTTTGCACTTATGTCAATCTTTATTAATCCATAATACACAAATGCATTTTGGTTGTCACTTACATGTACATACATAATCACACAGCAGCTATAAGTACTTGTGATAGCATATAATAAAATCTCTACACACGAGGCGCGTCCCAAAAGTAAGTTTCCCACTCGTCCCACAGCTAGCAAACCTTATATTGAGCGAAGCGACCGTGCGTATGTGATAGAGCAATGACGTAGCATGGCGCATGCACTAACGGTACTTCCCGCGTTCTCACAGTAGCATCGTTGCAGCTGTTGAAGATGGAGGTTCTTATTCCAGCTCCCGCCGACTGTGAAGTGCGGTCAGTGATAACGCTAGGCCGCACACGGCTCGACGGACAGCAAGTCTCCTGCAGGAGTTCAGCTGGGAGGTGTTTAATCAT